ACTTTATAAAAAAACAATATAATGGATGCTTAGAAGAATGGATAAATGGATAGATATATGGTAATCAAGTACAATAAAATAATGCTAGAATCTAGGAGAGGGTATGTGAGTGTTCACTATACAATTCTTTCAGCTTTGCTGTATGTTTGAAAATGCTTAAAATAAAATGTTGCGGGAAAATCACAAATACACACATAAAATCATTGGTATCAAGATATAATTCAAAGGGTTTACTAACAAGTTGGATATGAACTATGAGAATAAGTCAAGAATAATTTCTAGTTTGGGGTCATGAAAAGCTCTATGAATAGTGATCCATTTACTGAGTTGGAAATGACTAGGAAGAGAAGAAGATTCTATCCTCAGCTTGAGTTTGATATTTTTCCTTTTTAAAAAATTGAGATATAAATGACATATTATATTAGCTTTAGATATGCAACATAAAGATTTGATAATCTGTATACATTGCAAAATGATCACCACAGTATATCCAGTTACCATCCAAGTTTGATATATTCTTATTAGCTATCAAAGAAAAAATGTCAAGTAGTCATCTGGATATGTCAAACACTGTTCCAGGCACTGGAGATACAACAGTATACAGAAGAGCCAAGGTGTATTCTCATGGAAGCTATATTCCCCTACACAAAGATTACAACAATATGAGAATTATCAGCATTAAGATGGATTTAAGACCCATATGACCAGATAAGAATTCTGAAGGATTAGATGCAAATGGAGGAGAAAACACTAAGAATTAAGGCCTAGGTTATCCCAAAACAGTTTTGAATTAGAAATAGGTATTTGGGATGAGTATACTATACATTAGATGCTATATTAGATCTCTGTGATGGTATAACATATACTTAAAACATTGAAAGAATTGATGGGAATTCCCCTTAAAAGCCTTTATGCAATCATTCATTCGTGCTTTATTCAATAATTTAAAAAAAAGAAAATCAATATCAGTGTATTGATTTAGATTGATAGGTCTAGACCTGGAAACACTATAAGAAGCCAACAATATTTTTCTTTAAAAATAAATCTATAAAATGGCACTCTATAAATTTCCATTGTCTGTTTGAACTCAGATCAGTAGACTTCTGTTTGCCTAACTGGTAAAAGATAGGATCAATGCAAAATAAGTTTGCATAAAGTTATATAGTATTATAAAAGAAAAAAAGACCCCAATTGGATATATCCAAAGGTAAAACATTATTAACGTATCTCCTTTAAAGGCAGATTTTCTAAATTGTTCCTCAAGAAACATTTTCTCCACTCTTCAAATGTTTCTCTAATTCTTTCCACCAGGTCCAAAAAAAAAAAAAAAAAAGGAGGAGGAGGAAAAGAAGAAATAAATGAAGGAAAGAAAAGGAAGACAAGGAGTAGAAGAGTAGGAGAAATAAGTAAAAGGAAAATCTTGTTTTTCCTAAAACTCAAAAAACCAAATTGCACATCGGACATCAATGTGTCTCGTCAGACAGCTGGAGCTACTGAAGCAGATATCACTAGACACACACATCTCACATAACTAAGTTCCTTTCATTACTATATATGTATCCCAGTAGATGCAAAGTGCTTACATATCAATATTTTGATTGTCAAAGATGCTATTTTATATAAGTTACTCAGGGATGAGATGACCAGAATTATTATTATTATTTTGTATAATCATAAATTTTTTTTCCTTTAAGATACTCTTTTTTTTTTTATGTTCTAAGAAATCCTTTTGGTTTATGGTCCACACGTTGCCTAGAATCAAAGGTTATTCAAACAAAGCCAATTCAAAGTGATACTACTACATAGTTGCAAGAACAAATTTCAGGTTACTTATATGCAATTTAAGTTCTGAAATGGACTACATATGGCTATGATAATGAGCCCATTACTAAAAGAAACACTTTAGCAAAATGTATAAACCTGTATGAGATTATGCATCTATACTATGCACACACATTATCGTTATTTCCCCAAATATCATGTGTGTCATTTTCATTTAAGAATAGTTAAAAACTAAAGATAAGATTATTCTCATGTTAAAAACATCTTTTCACAATTATTGCAAAATTACTAAATTGACACAATGCACAGGAAGTGGATGTAATTAAAAAGCATTGTAGTAATTTATGTTTAGTTCCCTGTAAATGACTGTAGAACCAAAGTCTCATCTAAAAATAAAGAAAATCTGGAGAACAAAAGCTAAACTCAATACATATTCTCCTATGGAACAGTAAAGAAAAACATGCATGTGGTTCATGAATCTGTATTAAATGAGAAAATCTTTATTTACATCCCAAATAGAAAAGTTTGTCTATGGTTCTCAACTAACTTAATGTTTATTCTCTATGGATTCCTACGGACACAAGATACTGAAAAATCATAAATAATATTAGCACATATCTCCTAGGAGGAGGCAAAACTCCAACATTTTTCACATACTATAAAAATGCACATATAAATAACCCACCAAGCAAATTTCAATGCAAATCTATGTATCATTTGTCACTGAATAAAATTAATTTCTGTGTCTAGCACAAGGATAGTCAGTATATCTTTGAAATGGTACAAGCTTCTCTAAATTTGAAATTCATGGGGAGAATAAGCACACACTTATAAGAAAGCATAATAAGTAAATAGAAATCATAGAATCCTGGAAGAGAAAGGGCTTAGAGATCCTACAAACCAACCCCCTCATTATATATGGGAACGCTAGGTCTCAGTGTGTTGAAATAGCCTAGAGGGCAGTGTTGTCTACATCCCAAATTTTCTACAATCCCCATGGAGAAGCTGTCATCATTCTGGAGTGAACCAAAGGCAATCCAATGTCAAATGTATGCTTTATGTACTCATTCAGTAAGTGTCCACAGCTTCCTTTGCTTTAGAAGTAGTAGATGCTAAATACAAAAACTAGTTTCACACACACAAAAATTTACCATTACCTTTTCAACTTCTCAACCCTGGGCATTTTTCACTACACTACCATGAATTTCGCTGCATAATTGTGATCCAGACATAAACCTGCCCCTTATCTTATAATATTAAATCAGAACAAAGGTCCTAGGTGTGTCTCCGGGGCAGGAGGCGTGAGATAGGGAGAGAAGGAAGAAAAGAAGGGAAAGAGGAAAAGAAGGCAGGGAGTCAGGCTGGGAGGGAGGGAGAGAGGGAAGGAGAGAGATAATGTCTTGCTACTGCTGTTCCTGCAAGCTGGTTAATTGCATTTGTTTCATATATCTCCAAACACCCTGGTACATTAATTACATTCTGTAACACCAAGCTCTTCTGATTCCCTCTGTCACTTCCACTGAGCAATTTAATTGTATTCCTCTTAGCTACACACTAATTCAAAAAAAAAAAAGAAAGAAAGAAGAGAAAAAAACAACTTGGTGGTAATTCTGTAGTCTAATATACAGTTTATACATGCATTCCTGGTATTGAAATATGTAAATTCATGAATTTACATATGGTTTATGAGGATATATGATCAAAGTCTTCTTACCATGATAATCAAACACACTTGGGAGAAATATGAAAACCTTTCGGTTAGGGCAATGTAAATGTATTGTAAAGGTAAATGGATTAAAGAAGAAAATGTATGGTGACTGATTAGGTATGACTATAGATATTGTCAGTGTGATCCACAGTGATTAATTCCTACACATCAACTACTTAGAAGGGAAAAAGAAAAAGCAGTGTGCCCACATGAATGCCTTGCCTCCTATCTCTGGGGGCAAAGGTACTCATGCAGCCTGTGATTGAAAACAGCCACTTGACAGTAGGTAAACTCAGCTGTACCGCCTCATGTTGATAGAAAGCCTGCCTGGTTGTATCCTCCGATACATTTGGTTCTGTGCAGCAGTAGCTGCAAGGAACCAGGATAGCTCCTACAGGCGGGCAGAAATAGGCAGTGTCCCAAAAATGAATTCGTCCACAATGCAAATGCTGGAGGAAAGTTTATGTAGCAACAAGCTACTATGGTAGCTCAAATATTTGGACCAATACACAGATTCTTTACAAGTACAATAGTTATAAACCTAAAGTCCGACAATCACATTTTCAGGAAACAACATGCTCTACTCTTCTCATTAGACACATTCTTTCCATTGATTCAAAAATTAAAGTCCCTAGAAGGTTAATACCAAATGTTCTTTCGACTTTCTTCTTATAAACAAAAAAGCATGTTAATGATTACTTTCGCACATCATTCAAAAGAGCTACATGTAAAAAAAAAAAAGATTTCGCAATCCTTGCACAAGAAACTGACATCCTGTGAAAATATCCCAGGAAACCGTATCTGAACAAAAGACAGGAGAATCAGAGGCAGGATGCTGTCTGCTGGACACAGACTGACTCAACCTAGAGGGAGACACCTACCGCACCTGTCTCAGATCCCCATTGTGTTTGCCACTGGGGACTGAGCTGAGTTGTTCTGCGCCCACAGCCAGCCCAGAGCTTATGTTTCCCCCTTCCTGGAGCCTCGCCCAGTCTCACTTTTGACAGTTTTCTCCCTATGATCTAAATTCTTGATTCTGATTTCACACTAGAAGAGCACTCAGCCACACACAAGTGATACCCATTGAACCCCGAGATGCCCTGTCTCAAATTCCTAACCCACTGACCCTTCGTTGAAGTGTCTATTACTATTTTTCATCACTTGAATTTCTAAGTCAAAGTTCAGATACAAGAGCAAACACCAAAAGGGAGTAGGCACAAGAGTATCCGAGAGATTTGCTTTAATACTCCTTTTTCTAACAAGACTGAGAGCCCATTATTTATTTTCCAACTCCTCAATTAAATTACAACAATAACAATAGGTGACTACTAACACGTTCCACTTGCAGCAGTTTAGAAACAAAGACTTAAAACCTCTGCCCCCCAAAAGCCCCTGTGCCTGTTCAAAAGGGACTAACAGACAAAATGTCGTTTTATTTATAGCCCACAACGCACTCAGAAAGAAATGGTTTTTGGGGCGGGGGGAAAGGATAAAAGTATTTATAACTTACCATCAACTCGAACATATAAAAATCCACAGAGCAGTAGTTGTGTAAACATCAGCCGACTCATTTTGACATATTAAAAAGGATCCAGATTGTTTAAGAAACCAATCCCAGAGAGCAAAAGTACAAAAATAAGTATCAAAAAAAGAGGTAGGTCCAAAGTTTAGACTTTCCTAGATGCTCATTAAAGTCAAGAAGAGCAAATCGCAAGATCAGAAGGGGTCAGTGGAGAGGTCTTGAGTGGGGCACATTTAGATCCATCCAGATTAACAGAGGGCACTCCAAAGGCTGCTGTATTTCCACCCTCTGGCTTCCTAAATTCCCACAAATTCAGCCCAGCCGGAGGGATTATTCAAGTGTGTCTAACCCTCTCTCCTCAGGCTCCATTGCCATCCAAAGCCAAGTTCTTTCTTCAGAAGTCAAGAAGATGAAGGGGGAGGAAAAAGACCTAATTCCTAGAAAGTGTTCCACAAACTTGCCAGCGCGCTGCCGAAAAACCATTGGCCTGCCTACTGCTGTTCTTTCCCGGGTCTCCTCGGTAGCAGCTCCACGTCCAGAGTTATTTTTTTTATTTTTTTTATTTTTTCACTTAACTTCCATAATAAGGATGTGTCAGAGCAACACTTTGCAGGCGGGCCGATTTGGCGGGCCTCTCTTTTGCAGCCTCGTTGCCTCCCTCCACCACTCCCGTTTCCGAAAGAGAGGCAAAGAGAAATCAGGACGACTCGGGTGGAGAATCCGAACTCCTACGTGGTGGGGCTGCAAGGGAGGGAGGGAACGAGGGGCAGGGCTGAGGCAGCGGCCACCCCCGCGGTGCCGCCTCAGAGCGGCTGTGAACCCCGGCGGCTGCGGGCGACTGCCGAGCCGGGCGAGTTGAGCCCCGGGAGCCGGAGAGCGGACGCGAAAGGGAGCGCGCGGTCCAGCCGCCTGGCGCGGTCCCGCCGCCCGTCCAGGTTACAGCCGCCAGTCCCTCAGCTCCAGCCGCCGCCGCTGCTCCCGCGGCCCCGCAGCAGAGCGTCCGCCTCCTCCTGCAGCTGCCGAGGGTGGAAGGACTTAGAGGAGGGAAGGCGAGGAGGCGGGAGGGGTGGGGAGGAATGAAAGCTGCTCGGAGTCTGCCCCGGGGAGGGGGGCGGGGGTGATGAGGGGGTGCGCTGAGCTTTCCACCTCCAGAGTCCGCCGCCCGCACGTGCAGGGGGCGCCAGCCCGCTGGGCAGTCGGGGCGGGGGGAGGCGGAGGGGAGGGGAGCCGAGATTCCTAGGGGGACGGAAATTAACAAAATTGAAGCCCAAGCCACCGGTCAACTCCTTCCCCCTCTCCGTGCCTCCTGATCCCTCCACCCTTCCAGCCCAGGGAGGGGATAGGTGGGCTCTAGTCTCCTGCTCCTCGCGGCGTCCCGTTTAATGGGCAGGTAATTTTCTCGGTGAGTGATTTCATGGAAGCCCTTCCTAATTATTCATCCCTCCGTCTGCCGGAGATGCACGCGCTTTCTGGAAAAAGATCATCCTCCAGGACCCAGGGCGCAGCCTCATTACCCGTTAAAATCACACAAACACTCACTCTTCACCTTTTAGCAAAATGAGAAGCTGAGAGGGAGGGAGAAAAGGAACGGAAACAAAATATAACCACCTTTTGGAGCGGAAAGGTTGTGTGTAGGTGCTTCCTATGTCGTTAAAAAGGCACAAGAAAAAAAGGGGGGGGTTGTACAGAAATCTCTAGCCGCTACCGGCTCGTTTTAGCCGAGATCTATGGCCCCCTGAGGAATCCCGGGAAGGGGGAAGGGGTGGTATCCCCTCTTATGTTACTCAGTTGCCTTATGATCCCTTAAAGATGAGTTTGACGCGGGTCTGTGGGATGCAAGGAGTTCAGCAGAAGATGCTTAGGTTGAGGAGAAGGGATCAGAGACTTGGGGGTGAGGGGTGTATCCGAAGCCCTTATCCTACAGAGACTAGCACCTCTGAAAGGAAATTCGGAAAACACAGGATGGAGGAAAGCTGAAAACCCACTGAGCTTAAAAGAGGCTCAAAAAGAGCCGAATTCCAGCCCGAAGATGACAAACCCTGAAAATGAAGGCAAAAACCACCAAGTGAATGCCATCAGGACTGGGGATGATTATGGAAAGGCACGTTAGATCAAAGGGATGCCAGTGTCTGCGGTGCCCCCGGTGTGGCCGGTGTGGCCAGACCCACGTGTGATCACAGGCTCACTGGTAGCTGTTTGATGCTTGTTCCGGTGATTAGAAGGCGGGTTAAGGGAACTCACGCAGTTCCCCGAGTCCTGCTAAATGCTGGATAGTGAGTCTTTAGTTCCCCCTACTGGAAAATATTAGGAAAGAGTCCCTCCGTTTGAGGCGGCGGCAGGAAGAGCCTTTTGTTTGATACATTTTGGTGTTGCTACTTAATTTAGCTCTCCCTTGGCTATTATGGAGGTGATATTGTGTGTTTCAAAAAAAAAATGGTCAGCGCTGCTTAAGCAATTAGGAGAGTTCTTATGGCATCTCAGCATGCTCGAAAATTATGGTGATGAAATAGTCTTGCAAAAGAATAAAACCACTTTTCTTGTGAAGCATTAAGAGTAATTTCAGCACACTTTTGATCTACATTATTTAGTTGTAAAATTTAAAAAGTGCATTTACGTGCTGAAGTTAAATCACTTGAATCCTCACAGTAATGATTCTGACCGTGTTACTGTTTTACCACTCTATGAAAGAAAGGCTAAAATACGTGTTCACATGTTTTTCGTTTTTGTTTTGTTTTTGTCTCTTCCCAAAGGGCCAAATCTAAAGTCTGGGAAAATCCCAAAATTCACTGGAGTAACATCTCTCTTATCTATCTGTAATACTGAAAAATAACTGATAATTCTTTAAACATGTATATTAAACCTTTGGACCAAGATTTAAAGTAAGGGACTATAAAGTCTACCTTCTCCCCCCCCCCCCACAATCTCTATCTCAATCAAATTTCCTTACATGTGTTCAATAAAAATACTCTGACAATAGAATCTCCCTAATAAAAGAAAACAGAAATTAAAATGATACAGAGTTTAAGCCCTTAAACTTCAACATAGATCTCAGAAAGGAAGATGTTAGAACATTTCACCTGGAAGACTTTTCTCATGGCTATTAATTTATAGGACAAAAGATAGATTTCATTTTATACTTGATAGACTCACCATCTATAGATGCTTTTCCTTAAGTGATCTATAAAATCACTCAGAGGCAGAAAGGATGTGTGTGGGAAGATGGGGGGATAGGTTGGAGGACAATGACCTACCATTTAGGGCAGAAAGGTTTTGCCTCATATCTTACAGAAAGTTGTCCTCCCGTAGAGTATGACAAATGAGCTCATGGGGAGAAAAGGCTTATTTAAGGGAAATCCCTCTGGTTATATTTACTTGGCATTTTGGGCCAGACATCATCATTTTGCATTCATAATACTTTTATCAACTGAAAGTGGCAAAGAAAGCCAGTCATTTCTGTCTGGTGCCCCTTTTTGCTAGACACTACCTACATTATGTAATAATGTCTAGAACAAAGGAATTTTAGAGTCCATGTTTTCTGCTTTTCTCCAAGATAAGTTCATAAGTGATATCTTAAAAGAATGTTTTGTCAGTATCTCATTTGATATTAAACGTGATTCAGGAAAACTGATGTTGTTTTTTTTTTAAATCTCATACCAAGTGATGGTTTAAGATTATGAACAAAACTCTCACACTGTCAACAACAGTGAGAGTCAGCAGACAGAAATGTAATAGAGACCATGTTAAGTCCATGGGGAACAAAGACATCTCCTTCTGGGAGATTTGATAAGATCCATATTAGAGAAATGTGTATATTTCAATTAAATTTAGCACTTACAGTGAACACTATGTAAAAAATTGATTTCTCACCCTAATTTTTTTCTTAAAGGAAAATCTTTAAAATCTGAACATTCTACCAGAAGTTGGAAATTCAATTTTAGCAGTGATTTAGCTTCAAAAACATTTTGTTAAGGTTTTCAGTAAGACAAAAAGCTAGAAATGGCTTAGAACAATGAAGCCCCACCACCACTAAATCAGAGAGTTTAAGATACAAAAAATTAAGTGGCCTGTTGGTTTCAATATCTTTCCAAATCCGAATTGTCTTTTCTTCTCTAAACAAGCAGCTGAATAGAGAAATGTACATAGAAATCTAGGCTCCTTTTATGTAAAACTTGGAATGGTATTATTATGTACTCAAAATGTGCCTACCAGATAAATATATATTTTAATACATCTAAAGACAACTGTGTGTAAGAGACTATAATTAACCCTAATTTGGGTAAGGTGATCAAATGGCCTTCTTTGTGATTGTACTTCTAAGTTGGCATTCATGGAGAACCATAAAATACTCATCTGAAGGCAATCTGCACAATATAAGATGGAAAATATTAAATATTTTTTTCCATATCAGATTTTTCAAAAATGTGGCATAAATGGAAAAACCCCAATCCATTTTTTTTTCACTTTCAATATACTCTTGTTATAATTGTAAGATAGTATATACAGGCAAATCAAAGGTTTGATCCAAGATGATCATTGTAATATCTGCCACTATGTGGTGAGCACTTACTCTGTGTCAGGGATTTTTCTAGTTTTTTTCTAGTTTTTAAATTTCATCATAGTGTTTAATTCCTATAAAAGTTTTATTATGTGGGTGATATCATCCAATTGTGCAGATGAGATTACTGAAGATTGATCTCTTACCCAAGCTAATAAAAGGTGCAATACTCCTTTGAATCCTGATCTGACCACAAAATCTATGCTAAGTGTTAGGCTCTGTTTCCCAGGATTAATTTGAGATACCTTCCACATTATAGAAATACGTTAATAAATTGCTTTGATTGTGGGGCGCCTGGGTGGCTCAGTCATTAAGCATCTGCCTTTGGCTCAGGTCATGATCCCAGGGTCCTGGGATCAAGCCCCGCATCCGGCTTCCTGCTCTGCAGCAAGCCTGCTTCCCCCTCTCCTACTCCTCCTGCTTGTGTTCCTGCTCTCGCTACCTCTCTCTCTGTCAAATAAATAAATAAAACCTTTTTAAAAAATTTTGCTTTGATTGATAAATTTAAGAAAATCCCTGATGCGCCCAAAATACAGAAATATGTAATCACTTTTTGTTTTCAAAGTTGAAGAATTTTTTTTAAAGCCAAGAGATCGCCATATGTTATCTGTTCAGTTTCAACTTATGTTACTTTTTGTTGCACTCCACCTTGTTTCAAAAGTGATTTGAGGGGACCAAAATAGATTACTTATTGTTCTTCTGAAATATGTTCCAAGTATCTAATTGCAATCAATTCACTTTCAAGTATTCCTCAATACTTTTATATACATAGTAAGTCTGCCTTCCTATGTATCTATTGATGATTCGTACATTGGGTGCATTACCTGTAATTCTTAAAATATTCTGTTTTTAGAAATCTGGAATTTAAGGTGGCTAATATATGGCAATCTTTCATAAAAATTAAGTGTTTCCTCCCAAATACCATCACTTGTAATCAAGAAGAATTGTTTTCTTTCTTTAGAAGTAAAGTCAATTTGGAAAATCTTTTTCTATCTTGATTGAAAAGTTGAGTGATACTTTTAAACTTAACATAGTTTTTGAATCAATAAAATATTAGAGTAATGTGTAATATCGAGGCATAATTTCTCTAAGCATGTTCACCTTAAAATTTGGAATTTTTAAAAACACACAA